AGCCTCTGCCTGACCCTGGCTCCTCTTTCTGATGTAGTTGCCATGTAGTAAAGAGGCAGCAATGTGAGATCCTATCAAGGGCAAAAGATTTAAAAACAAGTCTGTTGGAGCTGTCCTGTGTGGTCTGACATTGCCAATTTCTGTATCTAGCATCCAGTCCCGTTGGAAGGATGTTGCTGGTGCTGCATGTCTCTGGGCAGACCCCAGAAACCCTACTACTATGTGTACTTCCTCAGCAGGCAAACTGCTGCACTAACTGAACTGTAGCTGTGGGCCATTTGGTGCTTGGGATACCTGTTTCACCAAAAGCAGGTGGGAAAACCTGGCTGTACAGAGGCCAGGTGTGGGTTTGTCGCTGTTCAGCATCTGTGCCTTGTGTGTTGCAGTGTTCTTGGGGGCCAGGAATGCCCACTCAATCCTGAAGCGTTTTCCCCGGGCCAACGGCTTCCTGGAAGAGATTCGGCAGGGCACCATCGAGCGGGAGTGCGTGGAGGAGGTCTGCAGTTATGAGGAGGTCAAGGAAGTGTTCGAGAACAAGGAGAAGACAGTGAGTTTGTCCCACTTTGCTACTCAGTGGATGTGTGAGGCACTTACACCTTAGTATGTTGTGGGTGGAGAAAAGCACAGTGGGAATGGCCTCTCCTGTTTCCTCTGTCCTCTTCATTCCACGGGCAGTATGCAGTAGCCTCACTTTTCAACATGTTTTACCCTTGCAAGACAATATTCTCTCCTCGTCATTGCTGGGACGCCCTGCACAGCTGTAGGTTGAACTGGCACTCCCCTGGCATGTATAAGAGATTTATACTGTTGTCCCCACATCTCTAGATGGATGTTGACTTTGGCCATATTTCTCCCTGCTTAATATGGGGACTGGTGGCTACTGTTGAGGTTTGTTCCCATCATCTTTTTTGCTGGGTCCTGTAATTGGTTCAGTGGGGCCACTCAGCCTTGGTGAGAGTGTTGCAAGGCAGCTGGAAAACGCCTTTTCTGTAGGCTTGGGGACAGCAGTGTTTATTGCATGTGATGGTTAGGGGCTGCTTGTCCCATGCAAAAGCACATTGGTGGTTCCCCTCTGTGTTTCTGCTGCAGATGGAGTTCTGGAAGGGCTACACCAACTCTGTATACTCTGTCAAGGACCCTGGGCACAGCACAGAGCGCTCAGATGCTATGTATGTGGTGGTGCCCCTCTTGGGAGTGGCTCTTCTGATAGTCATCGCCCTCTTCATCATCTGGAGGTGCCAGCTGCAAAAGGCCACCCGTCACCGCCCTTCCTACGCCCAGAACCGCTACCTGGCCAGCCGAACGGGACGCAGCCTCCCCAGGGTTATGGTGTACCGTGAGCGGTCACAGAGCCAAGGGGAAACTCAGTATCAGCGAGAAGCAAGCAACCGAGGGGCTGGAGACAGCAGAGCAGGGGGCACCCCCCAGCAAGATGGCACTCTCTGTCCACCAGAGCACTCGGTCTCTGTCCTCTCCAGACTGTCCAGCGCCACCCCTCCACCTTCTTACGAGGAAGTAACGGGGCACCCAGACAGTAGCAGTGGTGAGGAGACCAGCATCTCCTACAATGACCCTCCACCAAAGTATGAGGAAATTGTGGCTGCTGCTCCCACTGCAGGCAAATAGAGGGTCTGCCTCTCTCTTGCCTCTTCACACACTCATGCTCATGCACCCACACCCCTTGCCATGCCCAGAACCTTGTTCAGGTGGCATTGATATCCCTGTATCACTTGTACAACTGGTGCCATCACACAATAGCCTTACCTTCCTTACCAAAAACAACTGTCCCCAAGCAGGGTGAGAGTGGGATATGGGGCTCTGGGTTTGACCAGCCATCCCCCTTCCCCTTGCTCCCTGCTCACATAAGTGCTGCAGCAGCCAGAGCAGAGCAGCAGCTTGTTCCTGGCTCAACGTGGAGGTCCTCCCCACGGTTCATTGGATTTCTTCACTTCCCTTCAGACATAACATTTCCCATGACTAAAACAGCCTCACTGCCTCCCTGGGGTTCTGCTCAGCCTTACCCTGTGTGCATGCTGGCTCATGGACCTGAGGCATGTGTGGGGCTGGTGTTGGGACTGGTCTTATACATACCCACATCAGCAGGGGCTGTTTTGTGATGTGCTGAGACCCCAGTCCTCACTGTCTTCTGTTTGATGCTTGGTGCTCTGAAGAGGAGGCGAGGAGGTGGGAGCGGTGCTCGTTTCTGTCCCCACAGTTTGTGACTGGGGAGAAAATTCCTCCTTTGTGTGGATTTGCTGCCTGGTGGGAGTGGGGAACCCAGTCCATCCTGTAGTAACTGTAGTGATATTTGTTGTTGGGAGAAAAAGGAGGGACTGGCCAAGGAAGTGCTTTGTGATCTAGAACCCTTTGGAAAGGGAGAAAGGTTTGTGGTGGTCTTGCACGTGAGGTAAGTTGCTTTGGAACCACCAAGATGGCTGCATGGCTTTAAGCAGTGGGGATGTGCCTCCTTTCTGCAGGTGTGTGCCTCACCTGTTTGGTGTCCTCACTAGGTGCAGGATGCAGGCTGTAGATGTGCCAAACCTCCCTTCAGCCTTTCCCTAACCTCTCTGTCCTGGCTCTCTTTCCAGGGCTCTTGTCCTCCAAGCTGCTCTGGTGGGCAGAGCACATGGGCACGGCCATGGTGCAGAGGGCCTGTTGGCAGAGATGGCTGCAAAGGTGAACAATGATTGTGCCACCAATCAGGCTCTGGCAGCTGGGGATGCTGATGGGACAAAAGCAGAGCTGAATCCTGCCCTTGGAGCCAGAGTAGAGCACGTGCTTTGCCGTGGGACCAGCGTGTTCCCTTTTCCTAGGCAGCCACTTCTGGGGTCCATGCATTGGGGCTATCCTTGCCATCCTTTCCAGTCATGTCTGATGGGCTATAAGGAGGTTCTCCTCACCAGCCCCCAGTACCAGCCCAGAACCTTGTAGCACTGCCACCTGTAGCATTCACCCCAGCACCAGTCTCCACCAGCACCAGAAGGCTGTGGTGTACCGCAGGCTGCCCACACCCGCTGTCCTCCGTCCCAGTGATGCTCTCAGCCCGGAGCTGAGGCTTGCCCAGCATGGCTGTCCCTGGGGCAGGATACAAGCCCATGGGGTCTGCAGCTGCCGGCACCTCGTCTGTCCCTTCCCAGGCCTTCACTCTGCCTTTCGGCCTTAGTAAATGCAGGTGATGGGACAAACTGGCAATGAGTGCCAGGGTCAAAGCTGGGAAAGACTGGAGGGAGTCAGAGGGCATTCTTGGATCCTCTGTCTTTGCACGGTCATTACCTTTGCGGTTTGTATTCTGTAAAACTTGGTATATTTCTGTGCAAAAAGGTATTTATTAAAAAACCCTCACTGTCTAAGCGGCACAGGGTGGCTTTTTCCCAAACTGCTGGGAGAGGGATGTGGGATGGGGCATTGCACCCCGCATCTCTAGGCATGGTATCAACTGAGAATGTCCTACGAGCCCGGCTGGTATGTGAGTGTGAGGGATTTCCTGACGGCCGGGAGGGGATTTGGGCGCACAGCTCGTCTCTGCATTCCTCTTTGCGCGCCTAAACCTCTTAGATAATCCCCTTTAAATAGCAAGACTAGGGCAGCGCGAGATTTATTTTAAGCCCTTTCAGAACTGGATTTTATGGTAAGGCCTTGGACTCCGTCCCCATTCAGAAGCTTTTAAAACCGTCATTCATCCCAAACGGATAGTTTTATCGCTGCACGCTCCACTGAGAGGCGGAAGAGCTCGGCTCCGGCACGGCGATGCCCGGGGGAGGCCGGCAGGAGCAGCGGCTGCGCCTTTAAGCCCGGCGTTGTGCCAGGAGGGGAGGGTTCGCCCCGCTGACATCACCTCTCCGCCGGCCGGGCAGGAAGAGCGGCTGCTAACAGGTTGAGAAGTTGCTTTAAACTGCAAAAAAAAAAAAAAAAAAAAAAAGTAAGTGCCCACTCCCACCTCGCTCCGCCCTTTCCGCCAGCGGGGAGCGGGCGCTGCGCTGGGGCAAAGCCCGGCTGTGGGGGGCGAAGGGGGGGCTTTGGGAGAGGAGAGCAGAGCAGAGCAGAGTAGATCTGCGGGCACGAGCCTCAGGCTGGGGGTGCCAAGCTGTCTGGGGCGGAGGGATGCTGCTGCCCCTCCTGTCCGCGCCGGGAGGGGCGGGCGGTCCCTGCGCAGGGCAGGACGGGGGGGTCCCCTCCGCTTCCTCCCTCTTCAGCGCTGCGTCCCCCGCACTGCCAATGCGAGGAGAAGCACAGCGCGGGGGTGGGGATTCCATCGGCGTGAGCAGGATTGCTCGGTAGCAGCTAGAGAAAACCCTGCAGAAAGTTAAAGGCGGAAATCCGGCCATTTAAGCTCTTTCTTCTTATGGATTTTGACATTTGTGGGTTTTTGTTGTGTGTGGCTTAGATTGTGAGAGCCCGCTCCTCGCTCCCCTCTCATCCCTTTTCTCCTTGGGAGCTGTGGCGGTTCCGCAGGTGATTAGGACATGAACCTCTCTCCCCTTTCTGATTTATCGCTCCTCATATGCTGCTTTCCCAGAGAGATGGATGAGAAGACAGCGCAGGGCGTTTATATCTCTAAAACCCCGAAACCGGAGGTGGAACCCAGTCCTTGCCATGGCTGCGGGCCGTGGGGCTGCGTGTCTGATACAGCATTCCGCTGCGGGAATGGCACCTTTCTGGGACAGTCCCAGGACTCGGTGTCGGGGCCGACCCGATTTGCAGGCACGGGGATCTCGTTCCTACACACATGGACGCAGCAAAGTGCCGCAGCTGATGACTCTGGGCAGGCTTCTGTCCCTTTAATTAAAAGGTTTTTAATGATGGAGGAGGAAAGAACAGAGTGAAGTGATTACTGTTGGCGGGGAGCCGCCCTGGCATGCCTGGAGTTACAGGGCTGCTGGTGCTGTGATGGGATTGGTGCTCTGGGGCTGCATCTCCGGCCATGTGTGCGGCTCCAGGAGTGCTGCTGCTGCTCCCGGGGGGTGGGATGGGGATGGGAATGGGAATAGGGATGGGGATGGGGATGGGGATGGCAGTAGGGAGCCCTGGCTGCTGCCAGCTGGGAGTGGCTTGCTGGGCTGGCAATGCAGCGTCAGAGCACAGGATGCTAAAAATAGAGCCCGACGTGATCAGAGCATGCTGAGCCCCTGCGTTCTGCTCCTCCCCTCCTCCCGTTCTCACTTGCTGAGCTTTGAAGAGGAAAACGTCCCCTTCCTGCAGTGCTTTGGGCTGTGCTGGGGGATTTTGACTCAGAAGCAAAGGGGGATTCTTCTGTATTTCGAGGGCAGAAGGGAGGGCCAAGGGGTCTGTAGGGGAATGGGATTGGCTGCGGTCTGGAAGAACCCAGAACAGTACAGCAGTAATGTTGAGAACAATAAATCAGAAAGCAGAGAGTCAGAGGGACTGGGGACCTGTGTCCCTGCTGTGTCCTTGCTGGAAGAAGCTTCCTTTCCCTGTGGGAAGATGGTCAGTGTCTGACACCACAGCCTGAAACAAAGTCCATCCCATTCAGCTCCTTGGTGTGGATCCCTCCAGGAGATGGGCATGGATGCAGTACAGCTCTAGAGGATACTATGGTGAAAGTGTGTGTGGGGACAGTTTAGTTCTTCCATCCCATCCTGCTGACAGCTGTTCCCACCCCATGCCCTTGCCCCTGCCACCTGAGCTCCATAGGACTCCCTGTTCTCCAGCACATCTCCTATGGTTCTGTTTGTTGTTGCTTCTGTGTGCGTGTAGATGCCTTAAGCACGTGTTTTGCCCGGTGCAGGTGTCACTCAGCTGCCTGTGCAATCTGGGGAAAACAAACAAGATGTGGCAACTTTTGGAGCAGAAAGTGAACGCAGCCCGCTGTGACCTGCTCTTCACTGAGGACATCAATCGAAGGATGCAGGTCCCCAACAGACTCACTGTGGCAAATAGCTTCAGCCCTGTGGATGAGGAGCCCATGCCTGAAGGTGTACCCCCTTCCTTTCCAACACACATCCCTGTTAGGATTTCACTTGCAGGTAATGTACTGGGTTTTTTTGGGGTGCCTGAAGTTTGGCGGGGCTCTGTAACATTGTAGGGAGAACTGTTTTCTAAAGCGCTCAGTGGTTTGCTTTGCAGGAGAGGAAGGAGTCAGATATTGTAGTCACCTTTCTTCTGGAAGGTAGTGTGGGAAGGTGGAGATGCCTAAGGATGAAAGGTGGACGAAGGTGACTAGCAGAAGGCAGGAGGGGCCTTCAATCCAGAATGTGAGGAGTGAAATCTGGAGGCATCTCCTTCCATGTCTTCCAGTTTCCTCTCAGTTTTGGGGATGCTGAGACAAACTGCTCTCAAACCTTGCTTTCCTGGAGTGGTACATCCAGTTGATTTCCATTCCACATCCCTCCAGGCTCTCTAATTGCTCACATCTTCAGAATGTGGCTTTTGATGTACATCCATTAACAGTGGACATAGGGCTGGCAGCCCTATGTGAGAGAATCTCTCTTATCTGCTGCCCTGAGGACAACGGGACACGTTCATTCTTGCTGTTTCATTCTTCCCTCTCTCTTTTCTGTGAAAGCATCAGATGCAGATCTGAGACCCATCCTGCTGGACCAGCAGAGGAATGTCCCCTGCACTGAGGTGTGCGTGTCCCTAGACTCCTCGGCTCAGCACTTTGCACTGGGGGAGCTTCCTTTTATGCACATGGCTGGCAGATCAAGTGCCCAGAATCGCAGACGACTGGTACTGTTAATGAGAGTGGGTGGGCTTGCATGTGTTGGCAAAGGGAGCATGTTCCCTGTGGTTGCTTTGCTCTGGAAGTCCAGGATCACCTTACTGGGCTGGGGCTTGAGCAATGCCCCTGCCACTGAGGGCTTTTCATGGGGCACAGGGCTGGCTCTGCCTAAACTGAGGGTGGTGGTGATGGGTTGATGATTGGACTGGATGATCTTAATGTCTTTTCCAACCTTAATGATTCATTGTCTCTAATGCATCTGTGTTTGATGCCAACAGGGCCACCACAGCAGCAGGTCACGGCGGCAGAGCCAGCACAGCAGTGGATCACGGCGGTCCCCAAGTGACAGCACCCAGCTGGCCTTGCCCAGCCCAGCCCTGCACCATGAGCGGTGAGCATGGACCTGGAGTGGTGCAGGGTGGGTAGGGACCAGCATCCGTGGGGTCGTTGGTGCCCCAAGATGGGGGGGGGATCCAAATCAGGGCTACTCTAGTCTTGCATGAAGCTAGTTAAGAGGAAAGTGTCCTCTGGCATCAGTAAGGAGAGGTTTGCTGCCACCTGAGGCACATGGGACAGCATGTCCCCACTTGGAGCTTGGTGGGAGCGCTGTGGGTCCTTGCCTGGCTGTTAGGTTTGCAGCCAGGGTGAGCAAAGAGCATGTGTGCTTTTTGTGAACAGTAATGTGGTTGATATCATGGTCTTTCTCTCCAGTGGAGAAAATCCTTGAGCTTAATTCCAGAGCAGAGCTATCTTCTGCCTAGAAGAAAGCCTGTCCTGGGCTGGCAGAGAGGCGTGGTTGTCACACTGTCATTGCTGCCTTTGGAGGATCCAAGTGACTGAACCTGGGCTGCTGGAGGAGCTCCTCTCACCTGGAGACACAGAGATCTGGGTGTTGATGGCATCGCCCTGTGGTGCTCAGAGCTGCTGGAGGGACGTGGGGCCTGTGATTGTGCTGTGTGAGGCCAGGCAGTAACCACTGTGGTTCTGTGTGCATCCCAGGCTGGATACCTGCCCCCCACCAGCTCACAGTGCTCCACTTCCCCTCCTTGCCAGGACGGGCAGGATCTATTCCATGCAGAACATCTTCCAGACCATGTACCTGCTGGGCCAGGTGCTCTTCCACCGTTTCCAGAACTCTCTGCGAGACCCAGTGCCATCCAGGTGATGTTGGCTTGTCCTGAGCCACCTCCCTGCTGCTCTACATAGACCTAGCTTTGCCTTGCCAAGGCGGGAGCCAGCCCTGAGCTTTCTAACCTCACAGGACATGGCTGCTCCAGCCCCTTCTTCTTACCTATACTGCCAACTCTGGGTGCCTCCTGCTTGTTTTTGTGCCACCCAAGGGACCTAACACCTCCTGGGACACTTCTGGGTTTCAGCTACTCTTCAGTGCTACTCTTTCTGCATGCCTTGATAACGTGATGGAGAGAAATGTGGGAAGGGAATCAAAACCCAGCACAGATGGCCCAGTCTTGATCCTGTCACCAAGACACCTCTCCCATGTCCTCACAACATGCATGACAATCTCTTGTTTGCTCTTCAGTCACCTTTTCATAGAACCATCTCCTATCCTGTGTTGGAAGGGACCCATAAGAATCATTTAACCCAAATCCTGCTTCCACACAGAAGCACCTAAAAATCACAGAATCACCAAGGTTGAATTATCAGAATACTAATGATTCTCCTTGAGTGAAACCTCCAGGCAGATGGGGAGGAGGGGGAGCATCCATCATCCATGCCACCCTGGCACATGGTACCTTCCCTCCCCATCCGGAGCAGGGCTGCAGGCAGCAGAGTTTCTCTCTGCAGGCAGTACCAGGTGATGGCCAGCGCACTGCTTAAAAGCAGGGACATCTTCAAATGTGGTGTTTTTTTTTAGCTTCTAAAAATTTGGTTATTGCACACATAGACCTTCTCCTGTCTGACGTGGAGGAGTTTTAGCTGTGATACTGTGGAGGAAGGAACTTAGAGAATGGGGTGAGTCCTGAGTTCTCCCCAGCTCTCCATCTCCCTTTGGAGCCAGGCAACTTGGAACGCCTTTTCTTGGTACTCTGCATCATATCAAATGCATGCATTCTTTTGTACTCCCCACAACAATAAAAGAAGTGACTGAGCTCACTTGTTTATCCTGAAATTTTAATGAAGAAAGCTCTGCCCTCAGAGAGAGGCTGCAATACTTCCATGGCAGTGACCTCTTGAAGAGTATGAGTCATCAGAGGTAATTTCTGTTCTCTACTGTAAAGGGTGTTCACTTGTGTCAATGGGGATTTTTCAAGTAAAAGCTGCAGGAAGTGTCCAATTTTAATGGCTTTGTACTTGGTGAAATTGGATATTCTTTCTGTTGTGACTTTCATATTTACCATTGCTGCGTGGTAAATTACGTGGATGCATTGTCTCATGAGTGTGTTTTCAGGCCAGTTCCTCGAATGTAATGAGTGAGTTCCCCAGAAGAACTCACTCAACCCCATTAACCCATAACATGTCAGTGAGGGCCTGTGGCAAAACATAGACTGGTTTGAGTTGGAAGAGACCCTTAAAGGCCATCAGATTCAATTCCCCTGCGATGAACAGGGACATCCACAGCTCCATCAGGTGCTCTGAGCCTGACCTTGAGTGTGGAGCATCCACCATGTGTACAGGAGAACTTTGGAGAACAGGTGTGTACAGGAGAACTTTGGATTACAGATGAGCTGATGGAGTGCTACCCTATAATGATGGGAACAACAGATGAACATGGCAACTCTAATTTTTCAGCGTGGACCTTCTTTATTTGTGGCTTTGTGCTGTAAGCCCTGGAGCAAGGTTGTATCTGCAGGAGATGCTCATCCATGGCCTCTGTCCCTTTGTTTTCGGAGAAGGAGGGAAGCGATGCATGGTTGGAATCCTTATTTATGCTTCTGGTTGCAAATAACATTTGCTGTGAGGGCAAAAAATGCCTTTTGTGAGGGAAGTATTGGAAAGGACCAAATCCTGGTGCCAGCAAACCCAGGCAGGCTGGCACATAGTCAGATGACAGGTCCCCCACTAGTAGCTGCTTCCTACCCACTGGGTCCTCTCTTGCTGGGTAAATACCATCCCTCCATTTGGGCACTGGCTGTGGGACCTCTGTTTGCCTGACTTGCTCTAATGATGGTTTATCCAATCCTCAGTGGATTCCTCTGGCTATAGGAAATGGACTCTGGGTAAATATGTTTTCTCTCTGTTGGGTCTCTAAAGAAACTAAGCATGTGGTTTTCCTGTTGCTTGTTGTAGCATGTGTTGAGTGCTTTGTTGTGACCACTGCGGGCTGCATGGTGGAGGTATAAGCATGGTGGAGGTATAAGCATGATGGGGGTACGAAGAAGTTGGTAGATGCTGTGTGAGCGTTGTTTCCTCTCTCCCAGTGCTGCATGCTGACAGCACGACCTGGCTGTGCACACAGTGCTGCATGGTTGGGCTCCCCATGGCAGTGCCATGTGTGCAGGAGGGTAACTGCACCTCCTGAACAGTGTGCATCTCTGTTTTCCTCCCGCAGCTCCCAGGAGGTTGGCGCAGCCCCAGAGGAGGTCATCGTGGCTGAGGCTGCAGCAATGAAAAAGGAGGTGAGAGAAGTAGCGTAGGGCTGCAGGTGTTTCCTAGGAAAGCTGCAGGAGGGTGGCTGAGGGTGCTCCAGGGCTTGTTGCTAGGTCCTGGTTTGCTGGCATTGCCAACTAGCCTTGGGTGGTGATCCTCACTCTGCTCTCCTTGCAGCTGGCAAGGATCTCGGAGCGGCTGTGTGTGCTGGAGGAGCAGCACAAGGCTTGGCGGAAAGAGGAGCCCCTGGTGTACTCCATGCTGCTCTCTGCCTGCCTCGTCAACACCTGGCTCTGGCTGTGGAGATGACTCTGTGCCTTGGGCTCCCTGACCCACCCTGGGTGAGAGCAGAGAAAGGATCCTTGCTCACTTATTGTGGATGGTAAAACTGTGTGTTTCTTCTGAACTTGACCTGCTTCTTGGTATCCTTTAGGATCTGAGGTGGAACCATAAAGCTGGACTTGGTGCCACAGCAGCTGGAGATGGATGACAGGGAGTGGTGGGGTGGGACAGAGAGCATGGTCCAGTGTGCACAGTCCCAGGGCTGGGCTGTGTTTGGTGTGTGGTAGCAACTATGTGGCATGTTTGATGGGGTCAATTGTCACATGGGAAGCTGCTGTGGAAAACCCAAGCCTCATAAGAAATTTGTGAATGACACAGGAGGTATTTGTCCTGCATAGATCAATGGGAGAGCCTCTGCCCCTTGGGCTGTGTATTGGAGGAGGCACAAAGCCAAGTGTTAGGTTTCTGTGGACATCAGGTCCTGTTACAATCTTAGGCCATGTTGAACTGGTCCCCTCCTGTGTCACAGCTTGGATAACTTAGTTCTGCCTCCATAAAATTTCTCAGCCAATTCATAGAACCGCAGAATGGCTTGGATTGGAGGGGAACTTTCAGCCCACCCAGTCCCAGCCCCTGCCATGGGCTGGCTGCTCCCAAACAGCTCAGGCTGCCCCCCCCATCCCACCTGGCCTTGAGCACCTCCAGGGATGGGCACCCACAGATCTCTGGGCATCAGCACCAGTTGCTGTGGTCCCTTCTTCAACTTCTACCCCAAAAGCTTGTGCAGAGTGTTTGGGTGTTTTTGAACTGCTGCTAGGTTTTCTTTGTTTCCCTGAGCAACTGTGTGAGTTGTCCTGTGCCAGGGCAGCCCCTGCTCCAGGAGAGGGGTGGGCCTGGAGGAGCCAGGGGCTGCCATCTGCAGGGGAGTTGGACCAAATGACCTTTAAAGGTCCCTTCCAACTCAAACAATTCTATGATTCTATGGTCTCTGCTGTGGCACCACCTCCTCGGCTCCTGTTGTGCTGGAGGCTCTCAGCAGTGGTTTTGCAAGCACTCGGATCCCAGGTGGCTATAAGAGCACTGCTGAGTTCTGGACTCTGGACTTATCCAGGAGCTTGGCTTTTTCCCAGAGAGATGTACATGGGAAACCTCCCCAGGGTAATTGTAAGACCTTGTAATAACAGCGCAGGCAGCAGACAGGCCATGGACAGTTGCCCATTTGGGCAGCAGTGGTTATCTGTGAGATTGCCAGTGCCAGAGGGCAGGATCACTCCCAGTCTGCTGCCAAGTTGTAACTTCAGCATGGTACAACAGCACAGGTGAGGGGAATCCTTGGCTCAGGTGCCAAAAACCAAGCCCAGTTCAACAGCTCTGCTGTTTCTTTCCTTCCTTGATGTTTAGGAACACTTGGATTCACAGTGAACTGTGGTTCATCCAACACATCTGCTAGAGTGGTGCCTGCAGGCCTGGGGCAGGTGTTGGCAATAGGACTTCTCTGTCCCACCTATAAATGATTGTAGCTGGATCTGCAAATCACCCAGATGTCTCAATGGCTTATTTACAGACATGGATGCTTAGCTGTTCCCTGCCTGCTGCTGCATCAAGTCTGCATGGCTGTAAATCTGGCAGCTGGACATTTACTAATAAATAACTGTCCCACAAGTAATTGCAGGTCTGAACCTGTGGCTGATGTCTGGGTTGAGGAACAGCACTGGGATTTACTGCAGGTGAGAGCAGGAAGGGGGTCTGTGGTGCTGTGTTTAAGGGATGGCAGCAGGGCTCCTGGCATGGCTCAGGGATGTGGACAGGCTGGAAATACATGGAAGTGAGGTGATCAGATGGGATGTGTTCCTGAAGGCTAATTATTGGCAGTTTGTATTGGGTAGAAGGTGATTTTTTTGTCCTGGTTTCAGCTGGGACAGAGTTGCATTTTTTCTTCATAGTGCCTGGTATGGTGCTGCATTTTGGCTTTGGGCTGATAACACACCGATGTTTGGCTGTTGCTGAGCAGTGCTGCAACTACCAAGGACCTTTCAGTCTTCAGCTTCTGGCACTGTGCTGCCAGTGAGGGGCTGGGGAGGCACAGGGAGATGGGAGGGGATGAAGCAAGGACTGCTGACCACAGGGGTGTTCCATACCACATGGCATCATGTGGAAAGCCTTGGCAGTGGTGGGGAGCTGGTGGAGCAGCTGCTGCTTGGGGACTGGTGGGCATTGGTAGGTGGGTGGTCTGCAATTACATTGTGCATCACTTACTTTGTAAATATATGTTATTATCATTACTGCTTTCCTTTTTCTTCCTTTTCTGTCTTAGTAAATATCTTTAACCTCCACCTATGAGTTCTTTGTTTTCTTTTCCCTGATTCTCTCCCCCCTCCCACTGGGGGGAGGTTTGAGCAAAGGGCTGTGTGGTGCTGAGCTGCTGCTGGGTCAAATCCCAGCCCTGTGCCTGAGGCTCAAGTCCTTCTTTAAATCTAGAAACACTGACCCATGAAGTGCATGTTTTAATAAACCCTATGTGTGCTGGATGTGTCTTCTGTGCCACCTAATCCTGGTTTGGGGTGGCTGAGGTTTTCCCCCTTGGCAGCAGGACGCTGCCCCGCTCTTTGGTGCATCTGCAGTGCATCTGCAGATTTCCTCCTTTGTTGTCCCAGGCAGGTACATGTGGGAGAGCTGCCTGTCCCCTGGGAAGGCTGCCACAACAACGTGCTTAGAATAAGAGGCAGCTCGTGCAATCTGGCACTGGAGGGAGGTGTGTGGTGTGCACCAAAGGGACAGAAGCAGTGAGGCTCCTGGAACTCTCACATTTTTGGAGGGGGCTGCGGGCAGGGAGCAAAAGAGGTGGGAAGGGAGACAAGCTGCTGCCACTGCTTCTAGCCTGTTGCTGGTTCTGTGGCATGGGGACAAGGGGAGGTGGTGTGTCCCTCCAGTGCTGCTAACCGAGGCTGCAGAAGTTCCACATCTATTCAAGCTCACTGCTGCCAAGATTTTCAGTGAGGTGGGGAATGAAGCTTGGTGAAGAAAAGGTGAAGTTTTGGTGCTGAATGGACCCTGGATGCTGGTGCTCTCAGATCACACTTGCACGATGTGCTTGAATCTGTGCCCATGGAAAGGACTGACCCAGCTTCAGTCACTGCACGCATTTGGATGTGAGTAGGAAAGAATGAAAGTTAACCCCTTCCTTATTGTCTTGGGGTTGCAAGTGTTCTGCCAGCTGATTGTCAGAGTGGGTCTGTGTGCAAAACAACAAGGAAGACACCAGTGACAGGCTCAATTCAAGATCATCATCAAACTCTGCAGCTCTATTCTCTGGGATTCCTGAGAAGCAAATGTGGCTTCCTGCTGCCTGAGAAACAGGTAACTGGATGGAGGGGAGGGAGGGCCGGAGGGGAAGAAGGGGATGCATGGGAGGGAGCAGTGTCCCTCCTCCCTTTGATCCCTGGGTACAAAGCTGCTGTGGCTGACTACTCTGACGCACACTATGCTGTCTGGGGCATTGAGGGAGCCCAGGGGCTGGGAGTGTGCTGCAGTGAGGGGGGACACACACTGTGCATCGCCTGTCCTGGATGCTGTGGGGACCCCTCACACGCAGGCTGTGGTGTTTGCTGAGGCTGCTATGAGGAGATGCCCCCTGCCAACTCCTGCTAGCTTGCTGGAGGCCTCAAGGGACGTCAGACTTGTAAGTAGGCAGTGTTGGCATCTTGGTAGTGGCTCTGTCACTGTGGGGAGGTGGCTGGGTTTGTGGGCAGCTCTGCGTGGTCCCTGACCAATGTGTGTGCATAATGGTGACATGGGCAGGGCTGTGCAAGGCATTACCCCTGAGCATGCAGTTCATCATCAGTGAGATTTGCTGTGGGAAAGCACTAGTGACCTGTCCCCAGGAGCCTGCTTTGCCCATGTGCCTGTGGCTGCAGGGTGGTGGAGGGGCTCAATGGGCAAGCTGCTCAAATGCAAGGGTCTTGTACATGCTAAGCCCATCTTGTGCTGCTGTGTGAACAGCATCTCTCCCCTCAGTGGCCATGCTCTCCCATCCCTCCTGGGGGCTGTTTTCTCACCCTTGGGCTGTGGGAGAGCTGCAGCTTGTCACTAGGGCACAGTGCTACGGATGCTGTTGCCCTGGCAATGGCTGAGGAGCCCAGGTGGTGGGGAGAACATCTTTCAGGGGCAGATGTAGGGCCTCCTGGGGAAAGTGCAATGCCTCATAGGGCTCTGCAGTGAGAGTTACATGGAAAACGTGGGGTGGGCACATCTCTTAGGCTTTGCCCCTCTTTCCTCTGGTGCTGTACCATAACTCAGTGCTCACACCATACACTGCCTGCTGCCTGAGCTCCTGCTCTTTGCTCTTCCTAGGTCCCTGGGGCAGCTCGCTGGAAGGATGATGGCAAGGAGTAATGGCCTGCAGCTGCCCGGCCCCTGCCCACCCCTACCAACCAGAGCCAGGACTGATGCACAGAGCACAGAGCTCAGCACAAGCAGGTCAGGATGGCTCAGGAAAGGGTGGCATCGGTGGAGCAGGGCTGAGTCTCAGGGCACAATGGCACACCCCAGCTGTCTGCTTCTCCTGGTTCACCCAGTAGGGTGTGGGCTGGCACTGAGATGTGCAGTGAAGCCATGGCCCTCCCTTCTCCCCACTGCAGGACCCACTCGACCCAGGATGAGACCTTGGAGCTGCGCAGAGGAACTCCTGCATATGGGGGGGAGCAGCCAGCTGCCCCCCCTTCCCAAGGCAGACCAGCTCTGGCCAGGTAGCGGTTTGGGGCCAGGCTGCAGGGCAGGATTGGGTCCTATGCATTTCCAGAGCATGGAAGGAAGCTGGAAAGCTGTTGCACAGGCTCTTGTCTGAACGTTTTGTGCCTGGCTTTGACCTGGCTTTTGTCATAAACCTTTGCTTTGCCCTCGCTGTGTGGGCAGCTCCTGACTCTGCCTCTCTCCCCCATTTAGGATTGTCAGGCTTGTGCTGGTGCTGCGGGACTGGGCCAGCAAGAGCTTGCAGGAGGAGCAGCAGAAGCCAGACCCCTTCCTTGAGCGCTTCCAGGGTCCTGAGCTGCAGACAGTGCCTGCTGATGCCAGCAGTGATCCAGAGGATGAGGAGGCCGAGGAGAAAACCAAAAAGTAGGGCCCTTCCCTGTGACGCAGCCTCCCTGGGCTGAAGATTGGCCACAGGCGATGCTGTGTCAGCAGCAATGGGAGAAGGGCAGGTGTCCCACGGGCAGTGGGCTCAGCTCTGCCCAGGGACAGGGGGTGGCAGCAGCGGGAGGGCTCCGCTGTGCTCTGCTGGCATCTGAGCCAAAGTGGGTCTGCAAAAAGCTGTACTGGCCAAGGAGGAGCCAAGGGACGTGGAGAGTCCACACTGGATGCCAAGGCAAGCACAAACCAGTGGGCTCCTCCAGCCTCATTCATCATTGCAGGAGGAAGGGAGATGAAGGGAGTGCGTTTTGCTGCCCGTCTCCCCGCCTCCGAGGGCAGACACCGTGACGGCAGCTTTCTGAAAAGGCTCATTCAGACCCAGTGCTTTCATCTCCTCACTTCGCACTGCCGGTGAAAAGCAATAACCTGGCTTTTCTTCAGCTGGCTAATTAAGGGGCAAAGCTCACGACTAGTCTGGACCCTACCATTGTACACGGTAATTAAAACACCAAGAAATGAATCCTTTTCTATAGGAGGCAAGTATCTGAGCCTTGTATCAAGGCTGTTACTAGTCACGGGAAAAAAAAAGTGCTCTGCCCTGCGAGGTGAAAAGGAGCTTGTTAATTACTGGAGGGAGAGGAGCTGATGTGTGCTGAGAGGGCTGCTCCGTGCCTACGGCTCCCTGGGAAAAGCTGCACTCTGCACGGTATCTGCAGGGGATGGGACAGTAGAATTTAGTGCCATCACCCTACGGTCTGTAAATCCCTGCTGAAGGGATAAGATTAAGGTCCCTGGGCTGGGGGAGGTGTGTACATTTGGTGCTGCCCCACAGACTTCAGAAGGGGGACAACTACACTCCTGGGGAGATGGTGGCATTGGTGACTTAAAGCTGAAACTACCAACATGATTATCGTTGCTATTGAGATTATTAGTACTTGTGATACAGGTATTACAGCAGTGCTGGCTGGTTGCAGGTAAGTTGGTATTTCCCAGATGCCAGTTACCTTATGCCTCAGATTGCAAAGGGTCCCTTTCTCAGAAAATGTTTTAGCTGCACATCGATCCTGTCCCGAGCAAAACACAACTGTTTACTCCTCTAATGTGGGGAGAACCACATGGTTGTCCAGAGTTGCACCCAGAGGGAGAGTGAAAGAGCACTGCTGGCCCTGCTCTGAGCTCCAGTCCCACCTGCACACCACTGGTGGGGGCTTCAAGGCACACGTCTGCTTCTGAAGCTGTCGGAAGCAGCGGGGTGAGCACAGAGAATGTGCTGGCAAGTGGGTTGTTTTTCCTATTGCTGGAGGGAGCTTTGCACATTCCAAAGCTGGAAGGGAGGTGAGGATGCAGTGGGAGGTGTTTTGCCCTAGCAAGTGGTGGTGGCTGAGCCTATCAGTCCAGCTGCAGAGTTCCTGTTCCCCAGCTCCTCCAGTGAGATCTGGCCATGGGAGCACATGCATCTTATCTCAGAACCCCAAGATGAGCAGGATCAAATGATTGGGAGCAGTTCAAAGAGGGCTGAGCAGTCTGCAGGCAGGCGGTGTGGGATGGCAGCTCTGTGATGCCGGCCACTGCTCTGGGGCTTGGGCAGCCCCATGGTGCTCCCTCTGGTGTGCAGCAAGCTTTCCTTCCCGCTCTAATTAATCTTCTTCTCTCAGATCTATCTGGCTCCAATCCATGCCTCATTTAGGAGAGGCAAGGTCATCTAACAGAAGTTTTCTGGTCACCCTCTTCTGTACATCTGTTTCTGGCTCTGCCTCTGCAGCTCACAGAGGCCACCTGCTCTGCCTTGCCATGCTGTGGTTTCTCCTCTGCTATGCTAATGAGCATTACTTTGGGGATAAAGGAACTTAAACAATGTGGGACATTTTTACTTATCACTCCTGGGACTGGATTTAGCTTACAGACTGGCAGTCAAGCTGCAGCTGTTTGATCCAGGCTAGTGCAAAGGATGAAGGGGATGATGCGGCTGATTCCTTCCAACCCTATTTTCTATGTTTAGCCCTTTATTCACACATTGCCAGCCCTGGCCTCTCTCTGCTTCCAGGAAGAAATGGCAGTCCTTTGTGGTGGACCCTGCAGGGGACTGGTATTACCGCTGGCTGGCTGTCATTGCTGTTCCTGTCCTCTACAACTGGTGCTTGCTTGTGGCCAGGTGAGCTGGGATGTTGCAGGGCTCCTGTCTCCTCTAGCCCTCATCTTCACCTCCTTGTTGTGGCTCAGGTGAGGCTCAGACAGCTGGTGCTGATGACTGTGGGGTGGTGGGAAGCTAAAGGAAAGAATCACCCTACGTTTGGTTGGAAGAGAGATTTGTTGGTCTCACCACCTCATCCTGCAGGGCTTGCTTCAGTGACCTGCAGAAGACTTATGTTGTCCTCTGGCTGGTGCTAGATTACATCTCAGACTGCATTTACGCTGGGGACATAGTGATCCGCCTGCGCACAGGTGAGCATCCTGCCTTGTGAATGCTTTGCTCTAATATCTTAAAAGTGGAGGGACCTAATCTATAGCTCCATTAAAAGGAGTGTTTTGTCTGCCTTGGTTCTCACTAGTATGAAGCAAGTCTCCAGAGAAAGAGTCTAATTTAAAGATCTGAGAAATGAGGTAAGTTTCAGAATGAAAGATTAATCATCCTGGCTTCCAATTTCACCTTTGAATAATTGTACAAAATTACCCACATTACTATCAGTATTCGGGCAGAGTTGAATGTCTGTATCTCTGATTTTGCACAAGTTCAGCTAGTGAATTATCTACATGGAAAAATGGTAGTATTTAATGCTCTTGGAATGGAGGAGGTGGCTGTACACCTTCTGTCTGGAACTGCAATAATTTCTGATCTGGAGAAGGAAAACCATGGTGTTCCTATTTCTTCCTGGAACAGAGTGAATTCCTAAGCATTATCTTTACTTGGCTTTTCCCAAATGCTTGATAACAAAAGCTTGTAAGCCACCCACCTGGCTTACAGGTGGAACTGGTAATGTTTGGAGGATGGAATATATGCATTTGCATGGCGTACCATGAAATGTTTATCAGAAGTGCTTACAAAGCTTGCCGTAGAATTTAACAAAAGCCAAAATAATTCTCTCATTCCCTTCTCTGTTAGGTTTCTTGGAACAGGGCCTCCTGGTTAAGGACCTGAAGAAATTACGGGATAACTACATCTACACCTTACAGTTCAAGCTGGATGTTCTCTCCATCCTGCCCACAGACCTGGTGTACTTTGCTGTGGGACTGCACCGCCCTGAGCTGCGATTCAACAGGCTGCTGCACTTCTCCCGCATGTTTGAGTTCTTTGACAGGACAGAGACCAGAACCAGCTACCCCAACATCTTCCGCATCGCCAACTTGGTTCTTTATATCCTGGTGATCATCCATTGGAATGCATGCATTTACTATGCCATCTCCAAAGCCATAGGCTTTGGAGAAGATACCTGGGTCTATCCCAATGTCACAGACCCTGAATACGGGTATCTCACCCGGGAGTACGTCTACTGTCTCTACTGGTCTACACTGACTTTGACTACCATTGGAGAGACCCCTCCTCCTGTGCGCGATGAAGAATACCTCTTTGTGATCTTCGATTTCCTCATCGGTGTCCTCATCTTTGCCACCATTGTGGGGAATGTAGGGTCCATGATATCCAACATGAATGCCACCAGAGCAGAGTTCCAGGCAAAAATTGATGCCATTAAACACTACATGCAGTTCCGCAAGGTGAGCAAAGACATGGAAACCAAAGTCATCAAATGGTTTGATTACCTGTGGACCAACAAGAAGGCAGTAGATGAACGGGAAGTCCTCAAGAGTCTTCCTGATAAGCTAAGGGCAGAGATTGCCATCAATGTTCACCTGGAGACACTGAAGAAGGTGAGGATCTTCCAGGACTGTGAGGCAGGTCTACTGGTGGAGCTGGTGCTGAAGCTTCGCCCTCAGGTGTTCAGCCCAGGGGATTATGTTTGCCGGAAAGGAGATATTGGAAAAGAGATGTACATCATCAAGGAGGGGAAGCTGGCTGTGGTGGCAGATGATGGAATAACACAATATGCTTTGCTCACTGCAGGCGGCTGCTTTGGTGAGATCAGTATCCTGAACATTAAAGGGAGCAAAATGGGCAACAGGCGCACAGCCAACATCCGTAGCTTGGGCTACTCTGATCTTTTCTGCCTGTCAAAGGAAGATCTGATGGAAGCGGTCACAGAGTATCCCGATGCCAAAAAGGTCTTGGAGGAACGTGGCCGGGAGATCCTTAGCAAGGAAGGCCTGCTGGATGAGTCAGCTGAAGAAGAAAGCATGGAAGGGAAGAGTGTGGAAGAAAAGCTGGACAGACTGACCTTGAACCTGGACACACTTCACACTCGCCTTGGACGCCTCCTGACAGAGTACAATGATGCCCAGATGAAGCTCAAGCAGCGCATCACTGTTCTGGAGTCCCAAATGAGGCAGCAGGATCTGGAGGACTTCTTCTCAGATAGTTCAGACAGTCTGTCTGAGGTTGAGGGTGAAGCTACACCTACTGGGTTGCAATGAGAGGGTGCAGATCTCAGCTAGATGATGTCTTGCCTTGTGCTGAGGCAGTTTCTATTTCCCGTGGCTTTGACTCCCTTGACAGGACTTCTCTCATGTTCTCAGCATTGCCACTGAGTGGCAGCTCCTGAGATGGCTCCAAATCAGGCAGCTGTCCTAGCTCCTCCTCAGTCTTGTTTCATTTCTTGTGAAACCTCTGACTTGGGTCAGTAAGAAGAGAAGGGTGGCTAATGCCACTACTGATGTTTCCTTCCAGCTTCAGGAAAAGGTCTCTGTCAGTCACACTTCTTCTTTTTGCCTTAGTAGAAAGTGGGATGTGAACCTTGATGGGGGAGGGCATACCTGGACTCAAGTGAGAAAGTCAACTTGTGCCTCTCATATCTGCAGACAGGGAAGCTTGTCTGGGTCACTGTCACCCCATAAGTCATCTCCACCTCTTATTCTGAGGCTGGGCATCCAGCTGGAAGAGCAGGCAGCTGCCCACTGTTCTTTCTGCTGTATTCAGAGCTCAGCCATCAAATTGCCCCAGCACAGACACCTGGATAGCCCAAGCATCTCTCTTACCTGGCAACAGCAGTCCCTCCTGCTCTCCTGCTGCAGTGCTGGAGGGATTTCTATTTGGACTACAGAGAATTCGGATGATGAGTGCAGTGTGGAGGTGAAGACTGCTCCTTGTTGAATGACAGCGCCTGTTGCCCTGTGAGAGGAACGAAGATAGCAGCTGTCTCTCATCTATCTAATGATGGCTGGATGTGCCAGGAAGGGTATGACTGAAATGACATATTTTTAAGGAACAAAGCGGTGATAGGACCCAACTGTGCCCATATTTGCTTTACTGTGGGTAGCTCAGAAAGAGTGTAGAACACGTTTATTTTCTTAGGCAGGAGGTTTTCTTGTAGTCGGTGGGAGTTTAGGGCCAGTTGCTGCCTGGAGAAATGAATGGCAGTCATGGGGATAAGTGTGCAAGGACAAAAACCTTAAACCGTCACTGCCACCAGCAAAGCCCTGTAGGCCCATGGTGCAAGCAGGTAAGAGTGGCCATGCAATCCCTGCAAGCTCAGCACTTCCAAAGAGGAGGCTTCCAAAGAGGAGAAAGCTTGTTAGAGAAGAGAATTCTTGGGAAATTCATGTGCTGGGTCAAATTCAACTCATAGTTTGGCTAAAATAGTGGGATGACAAATGAGGGCATGGCAAAGCACAAAGGCTCATGGTGGAAAACGTTTGCTTTGTCTTTTCTTTTCCCTCCAAAACGAGCCCAACTTCCTTTATTTTGGATGATTTTCTGTTCGAAATGAAATGGCCCTGCGGTCTGGGATTTCTGGGAGAGGGAAGATTAAATTACCAAAATTAGAACATGGTGCATGATAACGTTTTTTTTGGTTGCCTCGATGAAATATGGGAGGGGGGGGGTCTGTCAGATCTAAGCTGATTGTGGTTGGTGATGAACCGTCTTCTGCTCTGACTTCCCCTTTCGCTACCAAACCCTCGGCTCCCGGCTTCTCTCTCTTCTCAGACCGAGCGCCGTGAGCCACCCCAGGCTCGGGGAGACGGGAGGGAGGCTGCGGCTGCTGCGGTAGGGCCGGGAGAGGGAGCTGTGAGCCGCGGAACCGCCGCACGGCTCCGTACCGAAGAGCAGAGCGCCGGGTTTGATTTTCTCTGAGCTGGGTTTGCAGGGCGATGCGGGCGGACCGTCCCGTCCCTGGAGCAGGGCAGCTCCTGCCTCCGGCTGGGGGAGATGCTCACAGTTTAGGGGATATCTTCGCTTCTTGCTGGAGAAAACGAAAAAAAAACAATCTTCCTCTCACCCCCCTCAGTTTTAATCCGAGATAATAATCCACTCGGGAAACTTTAAGCTGTCAGACAAATTACCCCGGAGGATGGCTTTCCGAATGCAGAGCAGATCCCGTTTGTTTTCTCGAGGCAGCAAGCCAGGAAATCACAGATTGATGAACCGCTTGATGGGCCTGCTAATGAAATTAGCAGTAGCTCCATGATTTTTCCAGCGAGCCGACAGGCAGATGCTGGAGAGAAGAGCACAGTGGCACAGCTGCACTGCTGGGCTGCCCGCATCCCCAGCAGAGAGGACATGGGGCACAGCAGATGCACCCTGTGGCTGCCCATCACTGGTGGCTGCAGTATGAACTTCTCCCTGTAAAGTTTTCCTGGAGATGCCAAAGGCTGTGCATGCTGGTTGGCACCCAGGAGGAAAAAATGAGGGTCCATTAAACTCTTCTGGCCGTATATTATCTATAGTTTTGTTTCTGCTGGATCTCTCCTATTGAAAAAAAAAAAAAAAAAAAAAAAAAAAAAAAAAAAAAAAAAAAAAAAAAAGAAGTAATCCTCTGTAGGACAGAGGCTCTAACACAGCTGTGTGTTGTGAATAGGAGACATCAAATCTGAGCAAATATTTTGTGGCTTTCCCTCCAGAGAGGGCAGAGGGGGAAAGGCGTGGGTTGCCAGGCAGTTCCTTTCAGTGCTGTCAAGCCCGAGGAGCCCCCTGACCTCTGCTGCAGATTTCTGCAAATCTGCTGTACCAGAACTGTAGAAAAAGGCTGGGTGAATCAACCATAAATGCTTTGTTTGGTATTGGGTTCTCCTTCTCCTCTCTGAACACTGTTTCTAGGAAAGAAGTAATCATCTCCAGTTGATACCTAGAAAATCTCTCTTGTGGGCCTGTGGGAAAGGTAAGTACACATCTCACAGCTGGGGGAAATGGAGAGGTCCTGCCAGGACACAACGGGGATGACTCCTGCCCACATGCTGTTTGTTCTTCTGAAGATGCTCATGAAGAGCCACTTTGGTGAACTGAACAGGCTCCAAACAGATCTCTTCTCCTTAGACAACCAGGCTAATAACCTGGATTTGCTCCTGTTCCAGAGAGGTAAGTTAACCAGTGTAAGTTAACCAGTGTCAGGTCAGCAAGGTTCATATAGGCCTTGACCATTGAATTTTAGGGTTGCAGAGTGGTTCCAGATGGAGCCCTGGATCTGGTATGTAGGCTGAAACCTCAGCCTTGCTTTTCCTAATGCACCGTATCTGCTGAGGTTCAGCTGAGCTGCAGTCTCTTGAAGCTCCAAGCTCTGCCAAAGGGTCTGTTGTGGTTGAGCAATGGGAGTGTTGTTTGCAGCCCTGTGTGTCTAAGGACTTGTAAGAGAAACCTTCCTGAGGTATTATCACTGAATCTTAACTCACTGATGCAGGCTCTGCCCTGTGGAGGAAACGTGGCTGCTGAGCATCCACTGTGCCATAGAGCCTGGTTGGTGCTCAGGCCCTCTTTGGTCCTGTGGAGCTCAAGTCCTCTGTCAGCCTCAGTGCAGGGTCTCAGTGTGCTCTGGAGAGAGTATCTCTGGCCCCAGGGGCGCATTGCCCAGCTATGAGGAGCAGAGGTGGAGTGGCTGAGTTCTGCAGCTCTCTTGAAGGCGTGGTGTTCTTGCCTTGCTGAAGCACAGAGTGGGTTATCCTGTCCACTATCCATCTCTGATTGTCTTGCTTGCTTCCCTGTTCCTCTCCTGCTTGAAATACCAGGGTGCTGCCTCTCCTTGGATAAACAAGCAGAAGTACCCATTCTTTCCCAAATGGGGACATGTGTTACCATGACAGCGGCTCAGGGTGAGCAGGAGGTGAAGCCATTCTTGTCTGTCTCTCTTGGAGGGATGGAGGGAAAGACTCGGGATACCTTCCCAGCACCTCTCCTGCCCAGCCCCACCAGTTGCTGCCGCCTGGAGATAGAGGGAGGCTGAGTGTGCACATGCAATCCCCCATGACTTTCCTGGGGCTCAGAAGAAGCCCAGAAAACACTTAAGGTGGAGGCTGAAGAATATTCCAGGCCCTGTGCCCATGGTGTGGGTGCAAACCTTGCTGAGGAGGCTGCCAGGGCTGTTCTGAAGGTCGTGAGTTTTGAAGGTACTCTGGTATTTCTCTGAGGAGTTTTTGGAGCCATATGTAATAGAAAAGTCCTTGCCTGCACGATCACCCCTGCCTCTGTACAAGGGTGATCCTGAATCATAAATCATAGAATGGCTTGGGTTGGAAGGGATCTCAAAGATGATGTAGTTCCCAGATGGTGATGCTGCACTTGGGGACCGTGTTCCCAAATCTGGGTCATGGTGGATCTACTTGGTGTGTGGGATCATGGGGACCATGTTTTTGGCTCTTCTCCCATGCCATGAGGACAGCTGTTGGTAGCTACAAGGGATGAAGGGGTGTGGAGATGGTGACGTTTAGTAATGAGCAGAAGAGCATTGGTTTCTCATCTCATGGATGTCTGCAGGTGCTTCTGAGTCTATTCATAGCTCTGTCACTGGCAGAGAGCTGTCAAGATACTCTTCACTCTACTTGTTTTTTAATTACAACTCGAAGTTCTAACTCCTGTTGAGAAGTGAGGATTCAGCAGACATCCTCCACTGCAGACAGACGTGCTGGCCAGACATGGAGTCTCAGCACCTGCCTCATCTAATGAACCAGATGTTTCTATTGAGAGAAACCCAGCCACAATAGAGCCCCAAGTCCATGGTGATGGCCTCCATCTTCCCTTTTTCCATTCCCATGGGAGCTGCAGACACAGATTTTGGTACTGAAAGCCATGCTCTAATAGTGGAGTGTGGTTGATGAAGTGTAGGATGGATGAACTGTGGATGAACTGTGGACCAGCCAGACTGGGACCATCTGGATCTGCTGCCCCAAGGTTCCTTCTAGTCCCTCCAGCAGCTTCTCCCCAGTTGATGTACTGTGTGTGCTTGGCTGTGTATAACTGAACACAAAAGCAGTGTATTTTGTGTGTTTGCACACAGCTTTACAGATGTGAAGGTCAGAGGGGACAGTGAGCGGTGACCTTTAAGCAGGCTGTGCCACTGCAGCAGCTGTGTGCTTCCCCCATTCCAGGATCTTTGTCTGCTTGCCATCTCTCTTAGAAATACCTTGGGCATAGTGAGCTTCAGTTGGTGTTGGCACAGGGCTGGTGTAATTCCAGGCTTGGGAACTTCAGTACAGAAAAGACCTGATGTTTTGGAGACAGTGCCCTGTAGGAATGGGACTGCTGGAGGACAAAGATCTTCCCCATAGTGAGAAGTCCCAGGGAGCAAGGTGCACCCATCTGAAGGGCTGCAGTCCTCTTTTCCCCTCTTCTGCTCCAGGTCCCTCATCTCTCCTCCCCTCCTGGCCCTCTCTGCATGTCTTTGAATGCCACATGAATCGATACTTTTAATTAGCTGCTATTCCTCATTTCCGCTTTATTGCTCGGATAAGCAAATTAAAAGCCAGCATGTTGCAGTGAGCAGCTCCACAGGGAGGACTGCAGGCAGGCACTGCTGTTTGCCTTGGGTGGGGGGGGGGGCACCAGAGGCTGGGGGCTGTGGCCAGGGGCTGGAAGGAAGGGCTGGGGGCTGACAGAGGGGCTGGAGCAATACCTGACTCTCGCTCCCAGCCCTGCAGCATCCTTCTGTGGCTGGGAATGACTGTGAAAGGGCTTTGTGGGGCAGAGGCAGTGGGTGAGCCCAGCCCCCAACCCACAAACACCCCTTTGCAGGAAGGGAGCAGCAAGTGTCAGCTCCCACTTTGCCCCAAGGAGAGTCTCTGCCAAGGGAATGACGGGAGGACAGCAGCTGTAATTAAAACTTTTAACAACATAACCAAAAAAGCAATGAGCCGTTGTTGTTATTAGTCCAGCTAAAATGATACTAGCACAGAGAGCCTGAATTCTGTAATTAACACTTAGCACATGCCATCAGCAGCGCTGCCATTCCCAACCGCTGTGCACGGAGAAGTGGCATTGATGTGTTTGCCAGGAGCAACGTGCTGCACGCGGGGCTCTCACCTCCTGTTGTTGGGTCTGCTTAGGGCCATGGCCATGCATTTCCCAGCAAGCATTATGTATTCAGCTTTTTCCCCAGTCCGTGAGCTCACAGTGCAGCTGACGTTGCTTCACCTGTATGTGTGCAGAACTTCTGCTCTCCAGAACTCCATTTGCTCACTGCAGAACTCAGTGTTATCTGGGTGGAGCTCCAGTGCAGCTGTATTCCCTTTCCTTGGAGAATGTCTGCTTTGAGATTTTCTACGGCAACCAGCTCCCATAGCATCTCCCTTGGAGAAAACATAATTGCAAGGCCTCTCTTGTGCAAAGTCCTGCCTTGTGCTGGTGCTCTTGAGTTTCTAACAGTGCAGTGGCCTTCTCTGTTAGGAGAATAAAAGAGCATTGAACGTAGCTGGGAGGCAAAGTGTGGTCTGGCAGTTCCTCTGGCTTGTCAGAGCCTTGGAGTGATGGGCGCCAGTGGGCTGCTGTCTTTAAAAGTGACCTTTTGAGAAAGACAAATTGAGAGAAAATGTCTCATGAAAAAAAAATCAAACGAGAAACAAAAACACCCAACCAACAAACCAGCTGCTGTTTGTGGAAATCTCTCTGC